ATAAAATAAACCAAAAGCCCCCCCCCCCCAAATAGCCAACTTAGTCCACTTTCTGTGGGCAGCTGGCTGTTAGGTTTTAGTTTCTTTCAGCAGTCCATTTTATTTTATTTTTTTTAAGCTACAGATGAGATAGCCCATTGCTTTGAAATGTCAAAGAGAATGAGAGAAAAGAGGTTGCTTCAGGTATATCTTAAAAGCCATGTTACAATATAATCTATTTTATTTTGCTATACTGTTTATCACAATACCTATTGTCTAAAACACATATCAAGAAAAATATGTAAATTTAATATCAGACAGAGAAATAAAGGACTACTGAAGGTTAAATTAAGTATCATATTTTTATGATCAAGGTATTGCAATTTTTCACCTCACAGTTTGATATACTTTTTTCTTGAGGTGCAAATCTTAATCTCATACCTTCAAATGATGCAAAAGCTTCGTAATTAAAATTAATAATAAGATACCTCCTCAAGCAAATGAAGTGGGCCCCAGTGATCATCAACACCAAATAAAAATGCCAATTGAGCTTTCCTTTCTCTCATAAATGTCCAATCTGGTGCCTCTGAAAGCTAGCAGCATATGGACGTGATTATCAATTCAGAATTTCAGATTAACATTGTATAATATAATCTTTGTAAATTTTTGTCCAAACTTCAAAATAGGAGATGCATCCCGGTTGCTTGGTCACCCAGTTACAAGAAGGTTGATTAGAAAGCTCATAGGCCCACCATCCTCATAATATAGTTCCAATCAAAGATGAAGAAATCCACAATTTTTGAAAGAGAATCTTGCCCCTTTAGAGGACTTCTTAGGACTTAAACACGAGGAGTCTAACTCAAAAGACTAGTTCATTAAGTAGGTGAGTCTCCTGACATATGCATTACATCAAACATTTTATACCACTCAATGTAGGACTCCTAATAGAGGATAACTAAATGTACATGTTAGATGTTATGCATATCTGGCAGACCAAGCACCAAGCAGCTATAAGTGTTAAGAGCCTACTTAGAAACTTCAGCGATGAATTTAGAGCATATCAAGTGCAAGTGTTTGATTTTAAATGGAAATAAAATAACATCATGGATAAATAATGTCATATTTAGATGAAAAAGAAGTGAAACAGCTTTATTACAATAAAAGGTGAAAGGTATATACGTAGATAGGAAGCATTGTTACCTTTCTGAATTCAGTCATGGCCATATAGAGGACATTCCGCATGGTATGGTACTGTGAATTATTAAGGGTAGAATTAATACCAAAAAAAAGGTGCAGACCAAAGCACAGCAAAAATCTGTAAGTCGGTATCAATTAAATGTAGATATTTTTGCATTGATATTCCTAATATAAGTAAAGGGATCAATAAGAAAGACCAAAAGAAAAGGAACTAAACTACAAGTTTAATGTGACTTATAATTGAAGTCTTCTTTGAACAGTAAAGCTAACCTGTGACAAGTGAGAACATGCAGCCTCAACTGCATTGGCTGACCATGATTTCCCAAGGGATTTTCTGACAATAAATCTCACAGCCTGGACAGGTAACAATCCTAATGATGCTATCAGGTAACTAAGAGCAGCAGCTAGAACTTGGGATCTGAAACCCCATGTACCATCATTAGTCATTTCAAATAAACTAGTCTAAGATATTCAAAAGAAAATTAGCAGTACTAAGCTTTCATGCTAAATATTTAGCAATAATAAATAGATAATTATCATATTTTTAAGTTATCTGAAATTTAGGTTCAGATCAAACTTTAAAAATTGTTTTTGTGTGTAAATTGATCCCATGAGGCATGAAACAGAGAGAACCACACAAAATTGTGATATCTAAGCTCATAACGTCACACTATTAGTTCATGTCTTTGTCATCTCTAACAAAGTAGGCAATGTGTAAGGTGTTTGACTTGCGGAAGAGGATGAGACTTACTTTGCAATTTTTCCAATAACTAACTGTGTTGTTGAGTGCGGGTTTAATGTCAAAAATGGATAAAGTCCAACACAATATTTCACCTACAGAGCCCAGGAGAAAATGCAAGTGGACAATTTACGAAGATCAGAAGTGTCAGACAGATGGCATGATGTGCTAACAATTAATTAAATAAGAACTGTTCCCATCACCTTCTCTAGAGACTTCTTGAACAATTCAATAGATATGTATGAACCAATAGAATGCCCAACCTGGACAGAAAATTCTAAATTAGCTACCAAAATTTCATTTCAGTAAATGAAATTAAACTTTTCTATATGCAGGTGCAACACAACTTTCAGATGATTATTTTCACTACAAGAATTTCATCAAATCCTCTTGCAATAAGATCACTGGTTTCCCAAATTGATAGCCATATATATTATGAAAAATCAGATAACAATTGCTTGCAAATAACTTTAGCTAAGAAATAGACTCAAATTGATTCATTTATGACCACAGTATCTCTAATATCATCCTTATTGTCAAAGGGGAAGGGAGACTGACTAAAGTAACATGTCATAGACTCACAGCAAGAAATATATCCTGATACGACACTATTAACCAGACTATAATATCACGAATTATCTTTCTTTAACAGAGATCATAACAAATTTATTTCTCCATGCACATTAGAAACCCCACACACTTTCTTTTTTTCTATTTTAATCTTCATATTAAATGTCACTCCTATATAGTATGGTGAACATAATATATTTGCGCAAGAAGATGCCAGCACACCTTGCTCTGACATCTGTTGCATTGCAGAATAAGTATAGTGGCAGGTGAGTACAAAATAAACAAAGTATTTGCACCAAAATTTTAAATGTCAAAACCCCATCATTAAAAAAGGAGAAAAGATTTCAATCTTGTACTATTACATGAGTTATGACTACAATTTCGAAAAGATAAGGATTTTTTTGTCAGTATGCAGCTACTTGGTGTTTTAGTACATACAACTCTGCAAATCAAAAGGACATTGGAAAAGAATAGTGGAGGTGACATATAAAAGAACCCACCAGTAATATAGGAACCTCAGTATTTTGCAATTCCTCTCTGATGAAATCAATCTACAAACACACAAGAAAAGTGGAGACTTAGACTACTACCACACATCAATACACTGTTAAAGTAAAATTATCCGAATCAAGAAAGAAAAATGTCAATCATAGAAGCATGGAAGTTTAACAAATGAAAAATGTAAACTTGAAAAGAGAGATTGAGAAAGGAATGCATGTGGCTTAAATATGACAAAATCTAAAAATGCTAACACAAGCCTGCATGTGACATACTAGAAACAATTCCATGATAATAACGTTTTTTATAATTAATAGTTGTGCACACTACAAAACGAAATGAAAGTTTAAATACTCAATTCTGCCACAGTTTTCATACCATTCAACATTACATTAGATAAATCTATAATGTTTCACAGAAATTCCAAAAAAAATGAAAGACTTCAAAGTTACTCCAATTCAATAATTTACTCATTCTTCTGTTGTATAAATCGAAGGGGAAGGGGAGGACTCCCATTGTAAAGCAGAACAAGTACAACCAATTTGTAAATGAATATCAAAATAAACCATTAATCGGTCTCTCTTACACTAAAACCAGCCAATGATCCGTTAAGACAAAAATAGTACGCATTACATTACCTTATGATCGATTTGTTCTTGTAGAGAAAACATGCGCCCATGTTCCAAGTTCTAGAAACAAAACTGTGTAAGAGACATTCTAATGCACCCATCCACCAACGCAAATCGAACCAAAACAAAATACACGTACCTTTCTTGAGTGAGAAACATGGCCAATAGCTGCCAGGTCACAGAAAAACATGACTAGTGAGCATAATTGTTAACCAAAAATCCACATGATAAGTAACAGGAAAGAAAGAGATGTCATTACTTGCCTGTAATAGACGCAGTTCCCTCCAGAAGCTCATATAGAAATTCCACAAAGTCCTTGTAGAATAAAATAACACCTGCAACAACCAAAAATACCAAAAGCCACAACTAAAACAACCATAACATGGAAACATAAGCACGCGCATACACACACACTCGAGGCCACACCTGGGTTTCCAGGAACAAACAGAACATGCAGAGTAGGAGCATCAGCTCGAATCTCCAATATTTCAGAAGTGTAACTAAGCAAAAAAAAGGCAAATAAATGATGAAATGAATAAATAAATTTGTTCTCAAATTCAAGGTTCGAGATAAATCTGTAGAGATTAGGTTACGTACCTTGACACGTTGCATAATCGAAAATTAGCACGCCTTCTAGGTTTGACAAGCAAATTATTGTCCGCATTCATGTTCTTACTGAAACACTTGGCACTAAACCTTGTCCTATTAGGAATAAAAATTGCTTGTGAAACGTATTAAAATTTGAGGGAAGCCTTGCATATCATATCCTAATGAAAATGCAACAGAAATGCACATATGTGAGGCAATAACTGTGAAGTTTGTGTGCCAAATTTTTGTAGGCACTGGAAACAGAAAATGAAAGCAATAAGCATGCAGCGCAAAGGTGTGGCAATGGAAGAGAAGGTACCTGAACGTGGGAAGAGGGAACAACAAAGTCAAAGAGTGAGAGAGGGATCGACCACTACAACAAACGAGGCGAGGAAGCATTTCAGTGCATTCTTTACATAATTGCTACAGTTATCTAATTAGTTTAGTTTTTATATTTTGGTACACTGGAAAATGAAAATTACTTTAGTTACACCTACACGTGTAAAACTGGACACCCGCGACTGCCAAAGTTTCTAATTAAATGGGCCCAAGCCCAACCCCTTTTATCTCAGACCGATTACAAAATAGTACAAATTTATAATTCCCTTCCTAAAAATTTAATTTATCATCAAATTTATTTATTCTTTTATATTATCAAGTTAATTATTTTGTATAACGACTAAATATTTTATTTCTAAAACATAATGATACTTTAATTTTTTTAAGAACTGGTTTGATGATAAAATAAATGAAAAATAATTAGAGTGACGTTCTAAATATGTTAAAGACGAATTTAGTTACTAAAAATTTTAAATAATTAATTTAGTCGCTTAAAATTTCAAATGGTTAATATAGTGACATGAAATTTTAGAAAATCAATTTGAGGGTTTACTCTTTTTATAATGAATGCTATACTTTATAATGTTTTATTATTATTTTGTATAAAAAAAATGTACTTAAACAATTTAATAATTTAAAATTAAACAAAATATTTAAAGTTTATTCGCATGCTATAATTAGAAATATTAGAAAAATTTATACCGAGAATAAATGTATAACCTTGTATATGAGGCTCATGCGCCAATGTAAAAATAAATAATTAATTGATTAAAAGTAGACTCACTCCATTTAATCGACATTTTATATATTAGGAATATGTACCTAATTTATAAATTTGATTTTTATCTATAAGATCGAACTTAATATCAAGAATTTTAGCGCTCAAACATTCTATTTAACCAAGTTAGACTTTATAAGTAATTTATAAATTTAGTGTATGACTCGATTTCTCATTTTGTATACACTATTTTAATGTCTTAATAAGCATGGGAGTTTCATCAAGTAATAGTGGTTTTCATTTAATAAAGTTATATCTACAACTTCATATTTTTAATGTATTTTAAATTTATAGTAGTATATAAAGAAGATACACTATTTTTTTTTCATTTTTTTAAAAGACGTTTATATTTCTATGATTCTATCTTATATTTTATTTACACTTGTTCCTAGTATTGGTTTCGTATGCCAGCCACATTTGTTCCTAATAAGCTTTCTTTGCTTTCCTCACTTGTCCTTGATCGTTGCCCAGCAAATACAATACTCATGTCAGATTCACCATCTTTGCTTATGATAAGATTATTTGCGCAAGAAACAAATACTTTTACATGATACACTTATTCCTAGTTGATCTCCTCATCCAATCACTTGTCCCTGATTCACTTGATTTCCTCACCAAACACAATTTTTATATCAGATTCACCATGTTTCTCTCCGTTAAGATTACATGGAGAATAAACAGCAAGAAATTTTTAAAAAAATTGAATAACAAAAACTCCTAGTGTTAGAAACACCGAATGTTAAATTAAAGAACCCATGATTAACATTAAACATTGACAAAGCATTAAGCAAGGCAAAGCATGCACCCATCGGAAATGTACAAATGATCTAATGAATCTAATACATGGAAACGGTGTTAAACAACTACATTAACTATATTTAACTCCCAAAGTTTATTCAAGAGTAACTTTTATCGATAAACATGGATGCACCCAGACACTGTGTGCATCACTAACAGAGGAAACTATTCAATAAAGCACCGGTTCCGTCTTGGGGCGAAAATGCAAACCTTAAAGCGTTACAGTTAGCCTTCAAGCGGTAATCACTCGACTGAAAGATACCGGCCCTGTAACTGATCAAAGCCCAAAACGCGAGCCCAAATTGGACCGATCCATTGGCCCGGTCCGACGCAAGGCCCGCGGCCAAGCCGGCATGAAGAAACTCGTTGACCACCGCGCAATGAATTTGAAGCGCGGTATCGGATCGGGATTTTTGTAAAAAGGGTTGGAGGAGAGTGCGGGCGAGAACGGCATCGTTTCCGTACATCACGCTGGCCGAAACGGCGTCGTAGGCGATGGCGAGATTGTGGTTAGGGTTTGTGATGACGAGGGTGACGTTCCACGTGGCGGTGAGGTAGGGTTCGGTGTTGTTGAGGTTGAGCACGGTGAGCGAGGCCGAGTCGACTCGGAACTCGGGGAGTTTGGGCTTGACGACGCTAAAAATGATGAAGAGCG